GAGAAACCTAAATTTCAAAAGGGTATGATGTTTTGTAGTAAAGAGACTTTAAAAGAGGCAATTAGGCAATATGGGATGGTGAATAGAACAACTGTCTTGTTTAAGGTTAATGACAACAAGAGATTACAAGTAATTTGTAGGGAGGGTTGTCCATGGAAATTATGGGCTTCCCCATTGCATTCATATGATTCTGATTCAAACACTTGGTAGATTAAGACTTACGAGTCTGAACACACTTGTGCTAAGTTGTTGAAAAATAAGAATGTCAGTTATAGGTTCATCGGGATGAAATATATTCAGAAATTCATGTCTGATATGAATTATTCTTTGACTTCCCTCAAACAAGATGTGATGACTGACTATGGCACAGTTTGTTATTTAACTAAATGTGGAAGGGCTAGAGAGCATGCCTTAGAAATGATTCAAGGTAAATTGAAAGAACAATATGGAAAGATCTATGAATATTTACTTGAATTAAGGAATACAAATGTTGGAACTACAACTATTTGCAAACTAGATAATAGACTATTTCAAAGAATGTATGTTTGTCTTCAATCTTGCAAAGAGGGGTTCAAAGCAGGTTGTAGAAGGATTATCAACCTTGATGGATGCTTGGTTACTTACTAGCAGCAGTTGGTACCGATGCCAATGGTAGAATCTATCCCATAGCATATGCTGTTGTGGAGAGTGAGAATCAGTATTCATGGTTATGGTTTCTGGAAATTCTTGGAAGAGACTTGGACATTGACAACTCATATGGATGGTGTTTTATGTCTGATAGACAAAAGGTTATGTTCTTAACTTTTGCATTTATTATAAATTAGTAAGCCTATTATCATAATTATTTATTAAGTTATCATTGTAGGTACTTGTTGAAGCTGTGGCAGAGCTATTCCCTAATGCTGAAGCCAGGAATTGTGTAAGGCATATTTATGCCAACTTAAAAAAAGATCACAAAGGAAAAGCTCTTAAGGATGCACTTTGGAGAGCTGCTAGAGCAACTTATGGTAGAGAATTCCAAGATGTCATAACAGAATTGAAGACTTTGTCTAATGATGCATTTGAGTGGCTGAAACATCTTAACCCTCAACAGTGGTCCAAAGCACACTTCTCCACCACTACTAAATCTGACATGCTTCTCAATAACCTTTGTGAATGTTTTAACAAGGTAATCTTATTATAATATTATTTATTTATATATATATTATTTTTCTATAACTCTTAACAAATTATATATATTGTGCAGATCATTTTGGAAGCTAGAGACAAGCCCATCCTTACTATGATGGAGCTAATTAGAACCAAAATTATAAGAAGAATTGTTTGCAGATATGAAGCAGCTGAAAATATTAATGGGTCATTATGTCCAAATATTCAGAAGAAGTTGAACATTGTAATTGATCAAGCAACTAGGTAACTCTTTTCAAATTTAATATTTCGTTGAGACATGCTGACATATGCTATCAAATATGTTAAGATATGTTGTTGAAATATGTTGAGATATGTTGAGAACATTTGAGATCTGCAGACCATTATGAATGTTTAAATATTCTGTTGAACTATGTTGTTTTTATTGATATATACAGGTGTTGGGCTACACATGCTGGAGGGTTGAAATATCAGGTTGAATGTGGTCCAGGAAACCAACATGTGGTGGACATGGGCTCCCACTCTTGTTCTTGTAGAAAATGGGACCTGACAGGCATCCCATGTATCCATGCAGTAGCAGTCATACAACTGCACAATGATCGACCTGAACCTTATGTTCATACATGCTACCACAAATCCACATAGCTTGCAATATATTCTAATTTCATTTATCCTGTCAATGGTGAACTACTCAACTATTTACATATACCTAAATAATTTATGTCATGCTAATTTTCTAAATTCTTTCTTCTTTGTTAATAGGTGCTAAGCAATGGAATCCTATCACTGAAATGGAGCCTATACTGCCTCCAGAATTGAGAAGACCGCCTGGAAGGCCAACCAAAAAAAGAGAAAGGAAGCTGATGAAAGAAATAAGAATGGACCTAAATTAAGCAAGAAAGGTTTGATGGGAAACTGCTCTAAGTGTGGTAAACCTGGCCACAATAAGAGGACCTGTAGAGGAGAAGTTGGCGGTAACAGGAGTCTAAACCAACATGAATCAGGATCCAACCAACCACATGCACCTGACCAGCCATCCCAACACTCAACTCCAATGCAACGACAAGCTCGAACCATCCAACCTACAAGGCAGCAAGTATTAAGGCCAAAATTACCTACAATGAGACCACTTAATCCACCTACAACAGTCCGTTGGATGATCGCACCATCTATAACAGACCATGCAATGCCTGGCAGTCAAGAATCTTTTGTTTCTAACCCTCACAATCAAGATTTGCACACAACATCAAAAGAATGAAATGGGTAGTGTTGATGGAACTTTTTGTGTAGTTTACCTAGGAACTTGACTTACTTTGTCATATACCTGCTTCTGCTTGATTGGCTTTGATGCATAGCCATTCTTTTTGTAAAGTTTACTTATGAACTATCCATATTTTGACATGAATTAAGCTTTAGGCTTAATGTCATATTGAATTAGAGCAGGTTTGACAAATTATTGTTCTTACTTGTATTTTGACTTGTATCAGTTTACTGATAATGAAATACATCATATTTTGGCATTTCTTTGTAATATTCATTTTTTAATTATTCTTGCAGTTCAATGCAAAATGAAGAAAAATTAAATGCACAATGCAAAAAATCAAAGTTTATAGACATACAAATGAAGAAAAACCATTGCAAAATAATAGAACCATAAGAATTAATCTGGAAACACATACAAACTTCCATTACAAAAACTTCCATTACGAAGCTTTTAATCCACCATTCAAATAACATCATTTTCATTTACTAACCCAAAGCTTATAGACACATAAAATCAACATAACAAGCCAAAAAATCCTCTCATTTCTCCTTTCCCTTTCGACTTTTCTTAATTTCTTCAACAACCCTAAGCAAACAAATCTTGCCCGAGGCACCATGGGAGATCCATCCAAACAAAAAAAATGACATTTTGTACTCATCTTTTTCCCATAGTTTCGACAACCAAAAAACCTCCTCCCACAATTTTCATTCGTCCAAGCCGTCACCACCTTAGCTGGTTGTCCACAATTACAAAGAGGAACTTCAATGGAGTCTTTCGTCTTCACCTTAGCTAGCTTTTATCTTGGGAATGATTTGAGAAAAATTTCAACAAAGAAAAATATGAAGGAAAAGAGGTAGATTACGGTTAGGGATTGGTTTTATTTAAAGGGGAGAAGAAAATGAACGTTAGAGTACTTCTCTCTTCCACCATGGCATTCCAGGTAAGCATCTAACGTTCCATGTGTGTTTTCCATGACGGCTCCTAACGGCTGTTAACGGCCAGTGATCATTTTGTGACAAACGATAACGTTAGTAACCAATTTGTAACTTTTTAAACATTAGTGGTGAAAACGAAAACTTACCCAAACATCAGCGACCATTGGCGTAGTTTACCCTAATTTTAATTATAATTATTTACATATATTTTAACATTTTTAGAGAATTGACATCAATATAAATCAATATAGGAGCCGTAACCTTAATGCTGCTGAACATCGTATATAAGTGGTAGTAAATTTCTTTTGAATTTTGGAGTCATAATTGATATAAAGAAAATTATTTTAATATTAAATCAGTTCGAATAAAACCATTCTCAAACAGTAAAATATACAAAGACACTTGTAATTTATATTAAAGTGTTCCAAAATTAAATGTGAATTAAGAAATTTATTTTTGGAAGATTACTAGACAAATTGGAAGCGAAATTGTTAGAAGCTTCAATTATTTGTCAAGTATGCAATGTATTTAGCCTAAAAGTTTGAGATAAATTTGAAAGATTCTTATATGAATTGAAAAATGAAAATTTGATATTAAGCTTCATTTTATTTAATATATATTAATATTAATATAAATATTGTTTAATAATTTAATCAAAAATTTCAAAATCATAACAATGAACATATTCTAGTTATAGTAAAAAAAAATTGCGAAATCAATTCAGGCTTGGAGTATTATAAAGGTTATGGACATTGATATTAATACAAACACTTTTCAGTTTCCAAAATTTTCTTCATGCTGCAATATATATATATATATATATATAGGGGTGGATGCACTAAACCACCTAGGGGTCAAATGCATCCCATTATTTAGAAAAAAAAAATGAAATTTAATATAATATGTTAAAAAAATGGAAAAAATAAAAAAAAAAATTGTACCCATTATTTTTAAGAAAAGTAAATTAAAATTTTAGATTCCATTTATAAATTTTTGGATCCGCCGCTGTATATATATATATTTTACCGTTCGCTTCGTGTCACCACGATAACTTAATTTTCTTCAAATATATAATATCACTAACCTTATCAGCTCCATAAATTTCTTACCTTGACAGCCACGTCACTTTCAATGCAGACATAGGTGGCATGATTCCAAGTGTCGGATGATCCATTCCCCTCGGCTAACATGGCATTCAGTTTTAGTAGATCTAAGAAGAAGTGGTCCTATGGAGAAATAATCCGAAATCTATATTTATTCAATATCTTCTTGAATGTTAACTTATTATAACTCGTCAATATGACCATTAAATTTTTAACTACAAGTATATAAATGAAACCTAAACTAAATGTTTGATATGATTTAAAAATAAATAAATTTCAGGTCAAATAACAATAATCCCATTTAATTCGTGCATATAAACTTTTAAAGTTGAGTCTACTATTAAGTATTATGTTAATTAGGAAATAGCTATATCGAAAAGCGTCCAGCCAAATTAGGTTTCTTCATTAATTGGAATTTCTTTCGAACATGCCATCTTAAATTTACTTAATTTCATACCGCTAGTTTTATTTGATTTTTGAAAAGTCTCATTTTTAAAATCAAAAGGGAAAGAATCGGGCAAAGATGATTTCTCATCTCCAATCGGAAGGAACTCAATGCCTCAACATCAGTAGACATCCCAAACAAACTATTGAACAAAAATAAATAAATAAAAAGTTTGAGATCTAAATTCTTAGTTGTGTACAGCCAAAAATTGTTCCTCGGCACTTTGTCATCGGAGCTGCCTGACGCCACATAGGTCTATCACCCACAACTGTCAATATATCAACATCAGACATCGGTTGGATATCCCAATTAAATCGATCAGGGCCAATTACCCCTCCAATCACGTATATTTCATCTCCTAGTCCTGTCATTGCAAATCCGATTCTCCTACGAAACTCCGAAGATGATGTCACGACCTTTCTCACTTCCTTTACCTGCTTGAAAATAAGTCCATGACTCATGACGTAGAGTGCTTCCTGTACAACTGCCATTGGACCCTGGAGCCAACCGTAATCCTCCACTGTCCACCCAGTACCAACATTGTCCAGAACTTGAACTTTAGATAACCCCTTGTGCAATACATGCACCTTTCCTCCTATAACTAACCCTGTGCATGCCGAATTGTGGGTGCGGTGGAGATCGGGTATTGGAATCCAGACATCCTTCTCAGGATCATACATTTCTGCTTGAGATATAGATTTTCTGCAGCTGGTGAAACCACCAGCCACGATGATCTTTCCCTTCAAAACACAACATGCAAACATTGCTCGGGGTAAGATCATGGATGCACGTTGAGCCCACCGGCGCACTACAGGGTCATAGGACCAGACTTCATCGGTTGCAAAACTCCCGTCTTGATCACCGGTTAATGGGTCAACATCATCACTTCCACCACCAAGCACAAACAGCTTCCCACCAGTAGAGACCACACCAAAGTAAGCAAGGTGCCCGACCTTTGAGGGAAGCACAGGAAGAGTAATCCAAATGTCTCGTAAAGGATCATGCATCTGCCATAAATTTTCTGGATCAAAGGCACACACGCACATAAGCTCCTCTGCTGAGCCAATTTCCTGCCGAGCTTTAAACAGCTCCGGGCTACGAATGGCAGCTCTCCAGGAACGGGAAACAAGCTCCAACTTAGGATAAAGGTAGAAGGGAACCCGTGCTAGGCACCTAAGGGCAACAGCATCCGGAAGACCTTCAATTAATCCAGACATACTAACCAAGATTTCATTGATTTCAATGACTCTTCACTGACAAACTGTTGTTATGTCAATCACAGCAGTGGAACATGCAATCTGAAAGAGAAGATATGGACTTGTAGGTAAAAACCAAATCAGCAGTTATAAAACATAGCTCACAAACAAAACATTGAACTGCTTTCCTTATGTTAAATAAAAAAAAACTAGCTCCATTTCATTTGTTTTCTTTATAGCAATGAAAACTAATTATCAAGGGGCATTGGAAACAGCATGGCTAAGGATAGTTTATTGGTAAATTTTTTTCTATCAATAGTTCAATCGCAAGAAATCATCTCATTAACAATTTTCAAGTGCCTGAAGAAGCAAAAGGACTTGGTGGTTTAAGAAGGGAAGGACAAACCAACTGATAAACCACAACACAAACGGGCTACGATGGGAATTGTCTGCACATAAACTAGTTACTAATATGATCAAATAGAATGTGCTCAACTTCTAAGATTCCATTTTCCATGTTTGTGACTGCTGCATTTGCAACAAGCAAATAAGAAACGAATAGGTTCAGAAGACATTCTAATTACCATGCTTTTCATCAAACAAAACAAATCAGAAACGACAGTAAGATACCATCAATTAAGTTACTTTACGGGAAAAATAGGAGCTCTATTTATCAGATGTCTATTCATGGACCAAAAAATTCTAGTTCTGAATAATAGCTCCAGAAGAATTAAATGTTATATTTTTTATCACTTAAACTTAAGTTTTATTAGTATTAGATGATATAATTCGACACTTGATATATAAAATGCTAGGTGTATGTTAGATTGTTAGATGAAATGTTTACGAGTATAGTAATTTATGTATTTTTATAATTTAATTACAATTAAATAGTTGATGAATTTAATGTTCATTAGGTTGTTAGATGAGCTAAACTACTAAATTTAGTGATTTACTAGTTATTTTATCTTTATAAAAATACTAGTACTTGTTATGAAAACTAGAAAATATGCTTCTAGAATTCTTATTCCGTACTACAATTACAATATATTGTATTTTTCTAAGTTTGTGTTTCTATTTTAACCAAGGAAATATTCTAGAAAAAACATAGATTGGAGCAATTAAATTCAACTAAAAGCATTCATAAAAAAAATCTAACAATATTTCAAAGTGAAATCATGTAAAATTTATTTAAAATTTCTACACATAGATCTAAAATTCCATGCGAAAATTTCGATTTACAGTACTAATTTTTTGGCCTACAGACGAATTTTCTGACTCTGCCCTGAATAAAAAGCACATTTACAAGCAAACGTGACAGCATAATATATTTCATTGCCCCTAATCGATTGAATTTCAGCATCAAAGACACACTTGATTCACTTGATCAACTTGTTAATCCAAAACCCAGAACGAGATGATAAACCAGAGAAATTCGTGAAATTGAGAACAAAACCCTAAAATTTCAGCTCAAGAAAATTAATATTTATCTTGAAAACAACCACCGTTCATTCATCTTCACATCAAACCAGATTCTAACTCACCATTAAAGGAAAAAAGGTATTGAATAATTCCAAAATCAAATCAAGATTCTGTACTATAGGGAAAAAAAGGTTCAAATTTTAAAGCTCCTGAAATGAACAAGAGAAACGATTCCTTACCTGAAAGCCAAGACTCGGAAAAGAAAAAAAAAATTGAGCTCCGATGTTTGCCTGCGGAGAGATAATATTCGAGATAGAAGGAGATACAGCCAGAGACTTTTCACAGCTAAGGAAACGCCGAAGTTACAAAAACAAATGATTTTTTTATCTGAAATATTAAATCAATCTTACTTATTTATAAATTAATTTAATTTACATGACCAAAATAAAATTTTGGTTTTTTTTTCTAATTTGGTTATTTGATTGAGCATTACAAAGACTTTATTTGGTAAGGGAAAAAAATAAAATTATTAGTTCATGTCTCCATGAATTATAGTAAATAAGATAATTATGTATTGTAGTAAAATTTTAAAATCAAATATATTTAATTTACTTTATCGAATAATGTATAAAATGATAAAAAGGATATATTTGTTTTTCAATTTATGGACATTTTAAAATCTAAAACAAAAGGAGCATAAGGCGTGTGGAAAAGTGGAGTGGATATTCCACGCGGGATGCCGTTTGATTTGCTCCAGTCTTCCTTGACACGTAAAATGAGGATTATATTTATATTATTATATAAAGTTGAAATTTCCTAAAGAAAGTAATTAGAAGTAAAATAAATAGTTGGGCACGGCATCATCAAATTTATGACAATGCCACATTTACTGTTTGATGTACATTTTACCACTACTCATAAATGTGCACCACCAATGACTACTTAGGTATAGGTATCAACATTACGATTTTTATAAAAGAAATCAAATTATTTGTTTTTAAATTGATTTAAATAAATATTTTAAATTTTTATGTAATTAGTTTTTATAAACATTAGGAATAAGTAGATTCTTAATTTCGATAGTAATTTTCATATGAGTCTTAATTGAGACTGATTTGTAACGTATAAACATATATTTACATGTGTTGGTTCGTTTTTAATTATCTTGTGTAAGGTCGTAGATATTAACATAATTAAGATTAATATGTTCAAACACTTGATTGTGTGAGGCATGTGACATATTTGAGAATAAATATAATTCCTCTAGGTACTCTAAATTTAAAAAGGTAGGAATGATCTAATAAAGATAAAACTGTGAAAATCTACAATGATTCTTTTGTTGTAATGAAAAAACACAAAAAGACTCTCAAATTTTATGTTCTGCAATATTCAATTGTTTTAGACAAGGTAATTGTTATTTCTTTTTTTATGTTGGGTGATGACGTTAATAGTAAAGATGTCTTAACTAAAATAAGCAAAAAATTGTTTATAAAAAGTCTAATTCGTCAAAAGAATAAATAACGAGAAAGATAAAATTATCACTGATAATCGAGATTGTGTTATGCATGATATTACTAGTGATGATACAATTATGAATAAAATTGACACTTATGATTGATGAGCTTATGATGTGAAGAGTAAGTTATTGCGTACGTCAACACTTGAACATAGTTTAGATCCAGTTGACAATCATTGTTGATTAATACCTTTTAAGTAGTTTCGTAGAAGATGTGAAAAATTTATTCGTCCAGAGGAATAGTTTATTTTGAACTCATTGTATTTTTAGAATTCGCATCAATATGAAAACTTGTTAATGTTTGACCTGAATTCTATTTTGATATTATTGTACTTCTTATATTTGTTTTTTCGAAAGTAAAAAACTTAAATTTATTAGATATTTAATTATGCAAGTATTTTCACAGTAAATAATAGGATCGTAATACTCTTATATTCTTATATTAGCGTTAGATTACATACATACTTTAATGGTAAGTATTATTGATGCATGTTTCGCAGTTTTTTGTTTAGGGTTTAACTTTTATTACGAATCAAATTATATTTATATTTCTTATTATTAGGAAGGTTTTTTTAAGTAGTTGCATTTGTTTTGGCTGCTGCATCAGATGGGAGCTTTAGTTAAGCAAATAGTTTGAAATAACAAAATGGTTCCTCTAATAATTTATGATTAAATACCATTCGAATAAAATAATGCAATTAACAATTTTATTGAAAATAAAAATCATGTCAAATAAATAAATAAAAACAATCATCATTAATTTTGTAACGGACAACGATTTCACAGTTAAAGTTCCTTAACATGCGGATCACAACATAAAATAAAATATTGTGTGCATCTATAAATACTTCGTCACATCAACACATTTCATAAAATACACTGAAAGATATATAAATAAAATGAAGGAGAAGAGAGAGAAATGAGCAACAAATTTGTGATAGTATTTTTGGTGGTGAGCATTGTAGTGGGAGTAGCAATGTGTGTGAGGGCCGAGAAAGGAGAAGAAGGAAAAAGAGATGAGAAAGGAGAAGAAGAAGGAAAAAGAGATGAAAAAGGAGATGATGAAAAAAAAAAGGAAGAAGGATTATTGGATAAATGTATCAAGGAAGGTGAGGAAGAACGCAAAAAAAAAGAAGGGAGTAGCGACTAGCGAGGCGATTTGTGATATGAAGTGTGATGCCAAGTGCGGGGCCAAGGCGGTTCAAAACGCCTTCAAAACATAACTCACATGTCCCACGCTATTATGTGTCCTACTTACTGTTGTCATATGGTCAACTAAATAAAAATTTAATCCTTTTTCTTTAAAATAAATTTAGGTCAGGGATGACTTTCCCAATCCAGGGTCAAGATATACTTAAGACATAATTGTGATTTACATAGAAACTTACATATTACCTATCAAGAGTGACGGTAGTAGGAATTTACAACTAATCTTACATGATCATTCTTAAATTTTAGGTACATGTATGCCCGTTTTTTTGTGACAAAATATCTTCTTCATTTTATAAAGATGGGTCAGGTCTCTATTTTTTAATTATTTTATTATTAATAATTTTTCAATTTTATACCGTATGCCAAGTTAATAATTTGAGTTATCGAAAACCATAAAATAATTGTTAATTTTAAGTAAAAATCAACATCAGAGATTAATAAGATTTGTATAATAATAAATTAAATCTTCAATATTTTATTATTTTAAATTGATCTAAATTTTTAAAAATAAGTTTTAATGTGTAACTATTGTACGAATTAAAGATCGAGTGACTTTAATGGTAAAATAGTATCATTCTTCTTAGATATTTTAAGTTCAACCAGTCATATCTACATTATACGTATACATTATTAATGACTAAAGCTGATTTTGATTAGATACTACATTTTAATCACCTTATAACATTAAAAAGAATATTGTACCAATTTGAATTTAATTTTGAAAAAAAAAATCAGAGGGACCGTAACAACAAAATTAAGCTTCAAAAAAGGCGACGATTGATTATTTTTTACTTATCCAAAAAACAATTAAGCTTCAAAAATAGGCAAGCTAATTAAAACAAACGTCAATAAAAGTTGGTAAAGTTCAAGAATGGATCGAGTGAGATAAATAGCATTCATCCCCTAAAATTTTCATTTTTTTATATTTTAGATCTTTTTACGTATATTATAGTGATAGTTTACTATTATTTCTTAAAATCTTATAAATTTATTTTCATCTAAAAATTTATAAATTCGTTCTTTTAATATAAAATTTTAACATTAAATTTTACATACAGTGGATTAAATATGAAAATGCAGTTGGGGGTTTAAAAGACATAACTTTTAAAGATTTATACGCTAATAAAGCAAAACATCTTATCATCATTTCGACCCAATATATATTTTTAATCTTTAATTTTAAATATTTAAAATTTTATCATAATTTAAATTAATTTTTAATATGTTTGATTTAAAATTTTGATCATTTAGACAAAAATATGACATTAGTTAATTTTACTAAAAAAATAAAATTTTCATCTTATTTTATATTTTTTTAATTTGATCCATATAATATAATTAATATTATTAATTTCAATAAACTCGCAATTACATTTTAAAGGAACAATTGGTTATTAATAATAATATAAATTTAATTATTTTGTCTCTCGTAAATTTTTTCATAAAAAATATTTACAAATATTATTAAATAAAATTAACAAATTCCTATTATATCGCAACATTTATGACCAAGAGATTATATAGAGTCCAGTGATATGGAAGAACCAAGTGTAAAAATAAAAACAAAAACTGGAGCTTAAATATTCTGGAATGTGCGGTCTCACACCGTGGTTTTACAATACCAACCAACCTTTTTTTTTTTGTTAATTTTGAAAATTACGAATTTAAGTATTTTACAATTTACAACGCCAAATAAAACCAGAAAGGCGGTGGGAAGGAGGCCGAGTTGGGTTGGTTTTTAAATTAGGGCAATTAATCAGGTAAATGGGCCAAGGTGTTTTGTTCAGTTGAACTTAAATGGTAGGTACGAGGCTTATTGGGCCATAATTTGACATCTGCAGTCGGTTTCAGAGCGAAGAAGATGATGTTTCGCCACCATTTACACCTACAACTGTCATGTGCTTCCAACGCGTCCCGTTTGATTAATTTCTGGTTACTGATGAGTTGTTAACCGAGCAACAACATTGTGTCCAAAACACACAGCTAAACATGGCATCACTTCAATCTAATCGATGCTTAATTGGGAACTGCACGCATTTAATTTTAATATCACGAATCATTTTACATTCTTTTCTGAAAGGGATCTGCTTAGTTACCGTCTTGGAATTTCAGCTTTTGCTCCCTGCATGCAACAGCAATAGTTTCACTTGTCTCATACTGTAATCTTATCAGGAAAGTAAAAAGACGTTATCTCTACGCAACTGGTGCTTCATTAAAGACATTTTTGATGAGGTTAAGTCCTCCAAATGATGTATGGATCAAGAGCAGTATTACTGAAAAGATGAATCTGTTTTCGGTACTATTATTGTACCATTTTCCCAGGTAGGATTGGACAAATTGAATCTCCCTAGGGAGTCAACATGACAAAAGACTGAGCTCCACGGTGTTATGTTGTTTTCAAGCTCAAACTTTGGCTCATATAGCCTTTACGTACACACAACTAACGGTTAAATGCAAAGCGTGAATTACATGTCCATTAATTTGGTTGGTTTATATACATTAATTCCCGGACAAAATTATTCAAATTTGCGTCATTATTTCAACCTCTTGAATTCCCCCAACAGTACGGTCCCCAGAGAAATAGAGTTCCCTTTCTTGAGATTCCCAACCTTCAGTGGCCGGAGTCACGTCTTCATCAGGTCCCAG